TTTTCATGATGGTGCTGTTGTTAGTGATGATAGTGGAGGTGTTGATGGTATAGTGAAGATAGTTGTGGTGATGATGCAGTGCTACGATGGTGATAGTGTTGGCGCAGGCAATGATGATGAAATGTTGATAGATATGGTGGTGGTGGTTGTGATACGGTGGTGGTAGATAGTTAATGTACGGTGCTGATGATATGGTGTGGTGTTGTAGATGTTTTTGTTTCTTACTTTTTTCTATCTCTCAAAAATTTATATTGTTTAGTTTTTTGCATGCTAGTTGTCATAACGGACAAGGCAAAGAAATTGATTCACATGCTACCTGAGATAAAGAGATGACGTTAATATTCTGTGAGCTGTGTTAAGGTGGTCAGATTGAGAAATTAGCCAACAACCTATTTTAACAAGGTTGGCATAATATAATAAAAAAGTTTAAAGAAAACATAAGAAGAGAATACGATATAATGCAATTTAAAAACAAATGAGATAAGTTTAAAAAGGACTTAAAAAATGGAAAGAGCTAAAGCGAGAGAGGATCCACACGCTTGGATTGCAATGCTATAAAGCGACCCATCAATGCTTCTGAAAAATGGTAGACCAGAGAGATTGGATGTGAGAATATTTGAAACGAAACTCATTTAAGTTTTTTTAAATTTTCACTGATCAATTTAAGTATTAATTGATTTGTAGGTCGTGTCAGCTGTAAAAAAAAATTCAAGTTTAGTGACATTGACCCTGAGTTTGAAGATAAGTTTGACAGTATGTTTGGTGGAGCGGTAGTCACCGATGATCAAGCATGGGCACCAAGCGAGAGGGCACGAACGCAAATCTAAGCATTTAGAAGTAGAGCAATCTATTGGGTCTAATGAGTGTTCCAACCCCAACCTAAATGAAGTAGGATCTACTAGCTTTCATTTTAAGTTTTCATTGATTTGTAGGTCCTGTCAGCTGTGAAAAAGTTCAAGTTTAGTGGCAAACCCTGAGTTTGAAGATAAGTTTGACTTTAAGTTCGGCGGAGTGGCGGCCACCGATGATCAAGCATGGGCACCAAGCAAGAGAGCACGAAGGCAAATCCAAGCATTTAGAAGTGGAGCAATCCGTTGGGTCTAATGAGGGGTCCAACCCCAACCAAAATGAAATAGGATCTACTAATCGATCCAAACGTCCAAGGGTAGAGAAAAAGAAAAAAGATGTTGCAGCTTTCATTATAAGTCAAATCTCCCAATTAGTGGCTTTATGCACCAGGAGCTTAGCGGACCATATGCGTCCTCCATTTAACAGGTTATGAGAATTCTAAAAGATACTCCAAAAATTGATGAGAACATATTGTTTTACATGTTCTCCATGAAATAGTTAAGAATACCCGACTAGAATAGTTTTTATGTCAATGAAACCAGAAAATATGATTAATTACTTGTGCTATTACTATAACAATCGTGATGCGTGAATTTCATTTTAATTGATGAACCTCTTTAAGTGAGAATTTAACCGTGGGCATTATCTATGCTACTTGCATTATGTTTGGATTTTTTTTATTTAATTAAAACATCTTTAATGCATTTCTTTACGTTTAATACAGTTCTTTCTAATTTAGTGTTATTGGTATGTGTTAGCTGAATAAATAATGAATATCACGGATAGAGAAAGACGCAAGAGAAAAATTACAATTGTAGTATGTTTAATGTACAAATATGACAACTCGTATGCTGCTCACTCTCCTTGCATGCATCTACGTATATAGGCAACAAGTGAGTATGAGAATTACTCATGGGTAACCTCACAAGATTTAACATGTTTCATATAACACATCATATTTTTATTGATCTATTAGAAGAATTGCACATAAAACATGGACTTTATGGCTCATCCATGATGACTTCAAGAGAGGTGTTAGACATAACCCTCTATATTACAAAATGAGTCCATGTGGCATGGAGCGATTCTAGCACTCATCTGAAATAATCAATAGATATTTCTCAGTTGGGTTAAATGCTCTGATTAGCTTATCATTAAAAGCCATCGTACTCGAAAATCTCACATTCCTAAGCACAACAGTACATACTTCACAAGATCATATTTTAAGGTAGTTTCATGTGTTCATCTTTTCCTAAATTTACTCGAGCACAATATCTCTAACACCTTTGATAAATATTTTAGATTTGTTTTGGAACGATTGATAGAACACATATAGATGCACGTCTACCCAACAGTAAAAAGATTGCATACGTTAAACGATGTAGTTCACCAACAAAAAATGTGATTGTTGAATGTGATTTTAATAAGTTCTTCACATTTGTAATGGTTGGATAGGAATGCAATGCAACGACAGCCATATTTTCAATTTTGCTACACGAACTCAAAGTATAAATTTTCGAAGCCAGCTCCAGGTTAACTTGAATATGAACAAATGAAATATTAATATCTTGTGCAATACTGATGATTAATATTACAACAAAAAAATATTATTTGGTTGACGTTGAATATTTGTTACATATAAAGTATCTCAAACCCTTTCCTGATACCAAATATCACATTCCTGATTTCGAAAGAACTAACAATGTCACTCGAAACAAGAAATAGATATTTAACAAGAGATACTCTTATGCGGTGCATTGAAAGGATATTTGGAATTTGGAAAGAAAAATGGGTCATACCGCGGGATATGTCGTCACATCTGTTTCTAAATAAGTGCAGATTGTGGTCACCATAATGACTCTCAACAATTTTATTCGGCGGTATCCTTCGCGCAATGACATTGACTTCAATAGGGCTGGTGAATCCTGTTGAAGCATATGAGTATCGTCTAGGACAATCTGTATCACATATTGAAAGTGATTTGCCTGAGATTTGCACCCAGGATGGAGAAGATGCAAGAGAGATGATAGAGTTGAGAGAGCGAATTACAAATGACATCATTGGTGGCTGAATGGAATGATTCTGTCTTTTTAGTGCTACTTTATTTGCAATGCATTGTGAAACGTTTACTATTTATTGTATCAATGTTTTATGCAATGATGTATATTTTGAATCTCAATTTTATTTTCGATTCGTTTGCATGTATTATTTCCTATTTGGATAGTCGATGAGACAACTGTGGATATAATATGCAATCTAAATTTTTATTACATGTTTTATTTTGGGTTCTGAAGGTCTATGATGTGATATTTGACCTTAAGATTTCTTTTTTCAGTCCTATGGCTGTTGAGATTCTTTTGAATGGTTTTTTTTTGTGATATGCATATGTGACACATTCGAGCTCGATATTACATGGTATAAAGACAACCCATAATTCTTTCTTTTTATAATGTTTGTTGTCTTCTTGTAGTGACAAATTCATTGATTTATATTATGCTCTTTGAGATCTCATTATTTCATAAAACTTTAAATAGATTATTTCTACTATTATTTTTCATTAATGTAGCATCTAAGGGTTTGTGTTTTGTTATTTTAAACTCTTTAGAAAAGATGAGCTCGAAGACTTCCAATACCTCCAGAGCATTATACTACTACTATGAACTACAATATTTCCTGCTTACTTTAAGACAATCACATAACTACGGGAGATAGTTTTACAGGTGTTCAAGAAGAATAACAGAAAGTTGTGACTTCTTAAGGTGGGCGGATGAGTTGGATTTGGAATAATATTTTTTTATTTTTTATATATCAAATATATATATTTCGGTTCATTGAAAACTGAACCATTCAACCTGAATTAAAAGTTGGTTTGATTGGTTCAGTTTTGTCGTAATTTTGTTTAGTTTGATAGTTTGATTTATGGATTTTGGTTCAAATCGTTTTGCACAATTTTAAAATTGATCCATCTAAACCGATCAAATGCACACCCCTAATCTTGTGACACAAACCAAGTGTTTTTTAGAAATAATATTATCATATTATTATATATTATTTCAATAATTTTTTTTTAATTTTGATTGTCCTGTTGCCCACTATTTTTGTGAAATGTCTATTTTTACTTTGTAATGTTAGAAATAAATATTTGCTTTCAAGTATGAAATGTGCTAGTAGGATTAATTTTGTTATAAAAAATATTATAGCGCAGAGACAAAAATGTTATTTGTTCAAAAACAACTACAACATAGTTGTTTTAAAACTGCAAAAACAAACAAACAGTTAGCTTCTCCGCAACAACTTCCTGCAGCAGCCCAAAACAGACTACTAAGAATCTGTTTGGGGCAGCTACAGCTGTTTGAAGAAGCAGTCGTGAAACTGATAAAGAAGAAGTTTAAAAAACTTCAATGGTTGTAAGATTTTTTTTTTTTTTTTGAAAAAATAAGACCGCAGTTTTCTAGCAGTCACCGCAGATAGTCAGGTCTTGTAGAAAAAATACAGCTTTTGTCTCAATTTTTTTTAGAACACAGGCAAAATGCAATTTTGCCAAACAAGAAAAATTGTGGTGCGACACAACGCCTCCACTGCACCGCCGCCCCAAACACATACTAAATCTCTGTGACATTCTATTATCACAGAGTGCTCAACAAATATTTCTCCATCTATCCAAATTCAACCCTTAGTTATATCCGCTCAATACCTTCATTCTTTTACATGCCAAATACAAAATACTTTAACTTATCATATCCAAATGCTAATTATTTTCTAATAATATTAGTTGCGGGTCTATTGAAGGTAAATAAAGATGGTGTAGCTCCAGTGGCGGAAAATATTAGAGAGAGTTGTCTTAAATAGATTGTTCACATTAAATGTCGACCATCTGATGATCCGGTTTAGGAGAGTAGATGCTTTAGATTCGACTTATGTTAGGAAAAACAGAGGTAGACCTAAAAAGACGATCAATAGGATGAAATGATCTTAATCTATTATAATTAAATGAAAATATGACATTCAATAGGATGAAATCAATAAAAAGGATTCATGTTGTCGACCCTAATTAGTGGGATAAAGGCTTTTTGTTGTTGTATTAATTATGATATTGTCATATCCACTCAATTTTTGAATTAAAATATTCCTAAGAATAATTTTAATTATAAGGAATAGCTATGAGGTAAACAATTTGATGGAAAGTAAGGTAGAGGTGTAATTGAGGCAAGCTAGCTCGCGAACCAGCTCGAGCACGGCTCGATAAGTGGCTCGTGAGCTTAGCTTGATGAGCGAATGATTTGCCTTGTTAGCTTGTGAGCAGGCTCTTTTAAGAAAATAATAATATAACATGTATTCAAAATATATTAAATTTCAAGACTTTATTTTTAAATTATTTAAAATATTAAAAAAATAATATTCTATAAATTATATCATCTTATTAATAATTATTTATCATCTAATTGCTCATTATATTTATCATTTTATTATAACAATAGTTTAAATTAATATTATTTTCTATCTGTTATAATAAACAATTCTGCTCAAACTCATGGACTTAAGCTCAAGCCGAGGGTAACTCGAGCTTGACTCATCTCGTTTACACCCCTAAAGTAAGGTACCATATCTCATCATACTTAAAAAAAAAAGAATTTAGTTGATAGTCATTTAACTTTAATTTGAAAGGAATCTGCCAAAGTAGAAGGCCAAAAAATGGAGCTAATAACTACCACGCTCTTTTTAGAGGCAGAGGCAACTATAACTTCATCATTACTTTCTGTTCAGATATTTATAAGGGGCATTTACATAACCACCCAATTGTTATCTATTTATATATCTAATACCTAAACCTTACTTTTTAGATTTATATCATTCAAATCTTCACATCACAAAATACCACTATTTTAACTTTTAAAAGTGAAATACACCTTTTCATGCATAGGTAAGGTGGTCTTCTGAAGCATTGAAGCTTAGGTGTTAGATATGTAAATACATAGGAATTGAGTGGTATGTACGTAAATTTCCCTATTTATAAACATGTATATTAGAAATAGGATAAATTTCTATAATCGTGTTATATAAACCACTAAATTAAATACTAGTGCTGGAAGAAAAATTTACACCTGGCCTTCTGAAGCATTCCCCCCAACATCTAGAAAATTGGCAGGTGTACCGCCATGTAATTTTATTATGTCCATAGTAGCCATTGCCAATCCTGCACCATTAACCATGCATCCAATTTCTCCATCCAATCCAATGTAGTTTAGATCAGCTTTCCCAGCAGCAACCTAAGGAAAAAGCACAAGAAAAATGATCAACAGTCTATCTCGAACACAACAGAAAAGCATACTTTAAAAAAAAGAAGATTTACATAAATACCAGTCAATTCCTATCTATTTACAAGTCTAAAACCTAAACTTTAATTTTTACACACATACCAACTTACCTTAACTATGCATGAAGAGGTGTATTTCACCTTTTAAAAGTTAAAAGGTTGCATTTTTTATATGATATGAAAGATTTGGGTGGCATATATCTTTGGGTGGCATATATGTTAAAAGACAAAGTTTAGGTGTTAGATATGTAAATACATAGGAATTTGGTGGTATGGTTGCAAATGCACCTAACTTTTGTTGTAGTTAATCTTCTTTTCCATAAGTATTTTACACACACTTCCATTCCTTGCTCTGATTTTCCTTGCAATTGTTCTATTGTTTGTGTTGAATTTACCCCTAATGAAAAATTTTAGAGATCAAGTTAAAAAAGTAGATGCTTTAGATTCAACACATGTTAAGAAAGACACAGATAGACCTAAAAGGACTTGACATATTATAAAAAAATGATCTTAATATATAAAAATGGGCCGCCAATTTTCTGTGAAAAAAAAAAAAAAACGGGTTAGCCTTATAGCTCTATGCAAAAATTAATCCATAAAACAACACTTGAATATTACAAATTATTGTCAATGTGCATCATATTAAACGAAGCAGGCACTGCTATATTTGCTTTCTGAGAACTAGAATAATGGGAATAATTCTCCAAGATAAGAATAGATAATTAACGTGAATTAATCTATAAAATAAAGAATATCATACTTGCTACTATTCCTTTTAAAGCATCCACTACTACAGTGGTAATGAATTATTTAATTAAGGTGAAAATTAAGAGAGTTTATATGTTCAGTAGAAAAACTACATTTATTCCTTCATGAGTAAATGAGCAAAATGTCAAAATAATCCCCCGCCTATTTACATCAGGTCATTTTAATCCCAAGGTATATAAAAGTGCCAAATTATTTCCCATATTATTTTAATCAGGGCTAAAATAGTTCTCCTTGGTACTATTTTACCTCATATTAAAAGAGTGAGACTTAATTTAACACTTTTATAAACTCTATGACTAAAATGGGCCCTCATGCAAGGAGTCAGAGACTATTTTAACACTTCCATCATAAATAAATTGTGTAGCTTATTTAGAAAAAAAACCTCCAATAAGGTGCAATCACACTTGCAAAAAAGTTCATAAAGCTGCTTCACTTGCTCAATTGAAGCATTCCTATCAGCCACCTTAGGTGCAAGACCATCGACGACTTTAGCAGCGTCTTCGTCCGTGATTCCTTTGAAAACATCAATAGGAACCTATATGAAGCAAGAAGTGACATAATGGAATGTGAAATAGTAGAAATCTCCAAAATAAGGATCAAAATAAACCAAGATTGTTATGATAACCTTAACAATCATATCCGGAAACTTCTCTGCGAGGTCTTCTATGCTCGTTCCTCCCTTTCGACAAGCTATAATAAGCTGCAAAGAATGAGAAAGAATAGAAATTTTCAGATCAAATTAAAAACAACAAAAAATGAATACGAACATACAAGCAAGAAATTGAAAGCAATGAAAATGACAAACGAACAAAAATGGATTAACATGAGCAATAATTTAACTGATACGATACTCTTTGCACAATGACAATTGAATCATTTATTGATACCTATTTGCAAATATAGAACAATGGAGTATAGCTAAAAGTTTCCAAGAACCATACCAAATAGCAAATAATGCGGCAAGTGTTGTATTTCAAAAAGAAAAAAACACACACAATCAGTCACATGAAATAATGTAGGATTGCTTTAATATATATGAAGGTAAACTAAAGACAATTAAGAATGAAAATTTAATCATGACATAAAATAATTAGATTTACAAAATATATTAATATGATTATAGCAATATATAAAACTCGGACAAAATGATAAAATTTGGAGCCTAATGTCACCGACAAAAAGTTCTACATCGGCTAAGTGTAGGGCCAAAGAGCAATATTAAGTTCTGGGCTGCCCACCTCTTTAAAGAGTTCTTTTGGGAGGTGATAAGTGGTATCAGAGCAGATTACTGCCTGCCAGGTTTGCAGACTCTCCATGGTCCAGTGGGACCCTCAGAGGAGCCGATTATTGGGTGGAGGAGAATGTCACCGACAAAAAGTCTCACATCGGCTATGTGTAGGGCGAAAGAGCAGTATTTAAGTCTGGGGCTGCCCACCTTTCTAAAGAGCTCTGTTGGGAGGTGACACTAAGCTCAGAAACATTAAAAAGAATTAGTTTATAGATCCTATATTCATCCCTATCCAACCTCGTGAACCTGAAAATTATCATCAACTTTATAAATCGAAATTGACCGTGTTCATCATTATTTTCTCTTAAAGCATAAACTTACTCGTCACTCTCCATATTTCTATGTTAGATCTAACTATGCGAAGCCTAGAACAAAATCCATTATTCCCCCTGAGATCATCCTTAAAAATGCATTAGATTCTTTCATATACGTCACTTGCTCTCACAAAATTAATCCAGTTAAAACAACTAGAAAGTCAGTCATTAAACTACACTAACAAAATAGTGCATATTATATAAACTATTTGATATCGAGTATAACACACATAGAATGTGCCATTTGGCTTGTCTTACTTTTCTTTGTCGATGGTACAAAAGATATCGCATGCTATACTATGAGCTATAGCACATGCTAATTTGTACCACAGACAAATATGACTGGCACATAATTAAATATTAGGGAGGTTTACATAGATAGCACACAATTCCTACGTGTTTACATATCATGGCACTCAAATTTTTAATGTCGCATAAAAATAACACTCTTGCCACTTTGTAAAGATGAAATACTACTTTTCATGCACAAGTTTAAAGAACCAAAGTGCTATATATATAAATATAAAAGTTTCTGAGATACACATATACATAAGAATTGTATGCTACATTTGTGAATTTCCCCAAATATTACTAGATGGCCTTCTCATATAATGCATTTTTACATCTCTTGAAAACAAGCATGTTCCAAGCATGTCTCATAATCCCTTTAATCGATAGGGTGTTAATTTCTCAGTTTCACCATTTTATATCCGTTGGCCATAACAACTAGCCAAAAAATGCAGACTGCTTTTTATGATATAACGCATAGATGAAATATATCAAAAGCTGAAATGAACTCGAATAAATCAACTCTTTATGTAGAATCAAGTTCTATCAGATGAAATGATTCATAAAAAATCTAAATAACGAGTCAGCTCATTTCATTGGCAGGCAAATAAAATAAATGACATGAAATATATTCTTTCTAGCAAACGGGCACATCACTACTCTCAACATATCCCATAGAATAAAAATGCTTTTAGGTTTACTCGGACAATATTTGCTTTATACTCATCATGTGAAACAAGAAAAAAATCTCTAGGTATCTAAACACCACATAAATTAATGAAATCAAATACAACATGGCTCGAGAAGATATTTCTGCATGTATGGCGCATCACGGACACGGCTCATATCACAACAAAATTGAAAACATAACTAGTTATTATAGTGGAATGAATTGTCTTTAAAAAGAAAACCATTCAAAGAAAATGGCTATAATACCTCTGAACATTCAATTAGGTAATACTAGAACTCAATAAAAATAGTTCATTGTCTTGCTGACAACAATGCGGATTCACCCATATGAATAATGCAAAACATAACCTCCCGAAATTTCAAAAGATGCAAGGAATTGAACACTTCGCACAAGCATTAAACATTCTAAATGTCAACTCTAATGCAAATCTTCTACTCCTGTGACATCTTTGAGCATATATAAGGTCTTGTGGTTCTTACAAAATTAACATTGTAATAGAGCATATGATGCAATTAATAAATTTGTAACATTTGAATGACTATTATCTTTGCATTGAAAAAAGAACATAGATGATCACACAAGTGGAAAGCAAAAGGAAAATTTACATACATACCACACTATTAATTTCTATTTACATATATAACACCTAAAGTTTAATATTTGCATTTATAACACTTTGTGGCATGAAACTATGCATGATAAGGTGTACTGCACTTTTAAAAGTTAGCAGTGATATTTTCGATGTGATATTAAAAAGAACATACGTTATGTATAGACATACTGTGATATTTTCGATGTGATATTAAAAAGAACATAGCAGTGATATTTTCGATGCATGAAACTATGCATGATAATCATCATCATTAGCCTTATAAAACTTTTTAGGATCAACCCACAATTCATGCATTATTCAACAAGGGAATTAGCCAAGCAGCTTTACAATCATTTTCTTATTACTAAAAACAAGGAAATAGTTTCAATCAATGGAAACTATAAGCCACCATGATTAACCTATTTTATACTTCACTTCAGGTGTAGCAGTTCTTACAAATAGAACTAGGATGTTCCAAGCTTTGGAAAGAAAAAAGGAAAAATCAAGCGCTACTGAACATATGTACCAAGCTTCCAATTCTCCTCGCAAATAAAATAAAGGAAGGATTACATACATACCACTCAATTCTTATGTAATTACATATCTAACACCTAAACTTCATTTTTTCCATATACGGCACCGTACATATGCATGAAAAGGTGTATTTCACCTCTTAAAGGTTAAACTAATGGTATTTTTTACATTATATTAAAGATTTGGATGGTATAAAACTATGAATGTAAGAAATAAAGTTTAGGTGGTAGATATGAAAATACATAGGAATAGGGTGGTATGTATTTAAATGCCCCTAAAATAAAAAATAAAAAGTGTACAATTAATAAGCACACAATGTAATTCCTTGTGAATAATACGTACAAAAATGCTTAAGAATTGAACTATGCTTAAGAATTGAACTATGACAATGCAATTACATGTGATAAAAAACAATAAAATGAAAAAAGAGGAAGAAAGCACTAGGTCTCAAAACATACTGGACCAGCACTAGAACGATCGAGGGTAATGGCAAAGTACATCTCATTCACAAGCGATAACTTCTCACACAGGTACACCTGTGAAAGAATGAATTTATATTTTAGAACAAAAAATCAATAGACTTTAATTATCACGTATATTTCAGTCAAGGGTTACAAGAAATTCAAGTATTTAATACAACAGATATGCATGACATTAAAAATTTGATGCAAAAGCACCATGAAAAACAGAGAACTCAAGTTTTAACCACCAAATTTTAACAAGAAAATTCATTGAACAAAATTACTAAAAAAACCTACTTAAACTACTTAAGATAGAAAGGAATTTATGGAGGTTTTCCCAAAAATTATTTTGCAACTTAATTTGATTGTGGTGAGAAGTGGGCTGCAATAATTCCCATAAAAGAAAGTAAGAAAAAGGCATCAATTGCCTGGCGTAAACTGATTTAAGTCGTCTATGTTGGGATAATAAGAGATATAAATAATAATAATAAAAAAAAAACTATTAATGTGAATAAGACTAATGATAAGAGTGATTGTTATTAGCTAATTACTGATGAAACCATTAAAATGTCACTGGTAATCTTGAAATTAAATATTAAGAGAAAAAAATACAGCATTGAAGGGAAAAAAAAGAAAAATTAATACAAGGATATGATAAAAGTATAATTATTATTAGTGACTTGAGTGGACATGTAAATTTTATTACAAAGGGTTTATGAGAGAATTTATGACAAAAATAAAACACAAACACATGCCTTAGGAAGCATGAACACTTGAGGATACTTTCAAATTGGATTTATGAAATCATAAATAGACCTCAGTTTCACTTAAAGGAAAGATAATTTTTTTTTTCTGCAAAGAATAGAAAGTGGTAATAAGAAAAAATTTGACTACATAAAAAATCTTAGTTCTTACAGTTATATTACAAATATAAAACAAAATAATATCAATAGCCTTGTGTCAACTCTCGCCTAGTTGGAGTAGGCATTGAAATACAAAGAAAAAAGTGCAGAGAAATATTTATTGCAAGGAGGTGAAAATTTAAGGGTCAGTTGTCCTTCAATTATTGATTTTTCAGAGCTGCAAGTTGACCTTAAGATTTTGCATTAAAATCGATATCATATAATAGGCATTGCAGTGGAGAACCAAAAAGTTATTAAGAAAAATAAAGCATTTAAAAACAAAAGGTACATTTTAAATTATATTAATTCAAGAAATCTTGTTAAGAAAATTATAAGATTTTGTAAGAAGAGCAAAAAGTAAAAGATAAACTCTCGATGATAAGTATAGCAGAGTGCTAAGGAATAAAAAATATATGCAAATCATAAAAGAAAAAAATAAAATTATAGTTATAGCAAATTAGCTATTACAAGTGAAGTTAACAAGATTTTAGTTGAAAAACATAAATTAAAGAAACATGAGCTTATCAATTTGATAAATTAAATAAGTTTTAAGGATAAAATTCCATATAAAAGTAAAATTAACAAATCATATATTATATTATTGATTAATACAAAAAAAAGGTACAAAAGTATGTTGAGATACATGCAATGATATTATGGTAAAGAAAACAAAGGCTCACAAGAACTACCTCAGTTCAATAGAATAAATTTGATTTAATGCTAAAAATGTCCACTACTTAGATAATTTTACATTAGGAGATTTAAATTGGAGAAATTTAAAACATTAAAGGTCTTCATATGATTTATTAATTTTCATAAGGAAAATGGAGGTAGGAAGGAATTTAAGATTATTAAAATCAAATATGGTAATTGGTATGCAATTTTAGTGGCTGTGAACTTAGTGACTATTATTAGCCAAAATGGCTGAAAGAAAAAGTTGCGCAAGGTTGATATGTTTAAGCAACCAGTATCTATTATATAAACAGGGAATTTTATATAAAATTTTCAATAGTTTGTCCCTTTTATAAAAAAGAGCATAGATTTAAAAATATAGTGTAAACACATCACCAAAGTTTTATATACTTTAGAACAAAGATACTTATACTATAATTAAAACTTTACCGATCATTAACATCAACATGAGGTTGTTATTGTCAACAAGACTTTTTCAATACCGTTGTTAGCTGACTATATTTGCAAGCACGTGAGCACACAGGCATTTGAGCTTGATACCAGTGCAAGCTCTTCTAATCACTAGAGCACTAACTATTATTAAAAGTATGTTTAGACTAGAAAAAAAACTTTAAAAAATAGTTGGATTGCATTAGCGTCAACATTAAGTCCACATATTTTCACATTAAATATAAAGATGCTTACAAACATATTCAAAATAAGATATTTCTTGTCAAATATTTGGAAATAACCCAATTTTGACTTTGAAAATCTGAAATTGTAAGTTAAAACAATGGATTAAATTATAGAAAATAAAATATGCGATCAATAAGCAATTTTAGTGGATGTGAATTTAGTCATTATTAGTCAATATTGCTTTAGGATCAAATGGTACTGGGTTGATAAGTTTATGAAACCAATATATATATATACATATATATATATATCAAGGATA